TACATAACTGAGTACGTAGAGTATAAATTCTAAGCCAATTTAGAGTCTATGCTGGCTCTATTAAAAATCATTGACAGTTGCCCGATTATCTGACCAATTCTGTGTCAATTGGGCCTTTTTGGCAGCAGAATTAGTTGCCGAAGTGAATGTACACATCATCAGAATAATCGGCATCCTGAAATTGTGCATATGGAAACTGTGCATACGAAATAACGCATATGAAACAAACCGAAATAATGCATACGAAAAAAAAACGAAATAATGCATATATGCACACTTTCGTTTGAAAACCGAAATAATGCATATGACACGCACAGTTTCGGATGGAAACCGAAATAATGCATATGTGACAGGCGAAGTAATGCATACATGCACAGTTTCGGTTGAAACCGAAATAATGTCTAAATCCACAGTTTCCATATGCGCAATTTCGGTGCCCCGAACAATCGAATTCACAATTCAGGTCTCTAATTAAGAATCGATAATGCTACCCCGTATTTTTTCGGGGTTAATTGCCTTTTGTGGCCCAGGGTCTTTGCCAAATATCTTCATTATTATTTCTGGAAATAGACATATTCAGTACTCCTAAAGCCGTAAACATATTTATTTTATTTGTAGCTAAAATGTTGATACTCGTACCAACTTTTCTTCAATGAAGAATTGCAAATATTTTGTACTTGCGGAGTGGATTTTTTACAGCCGGGTCTAAAATTGTCTACACATGAACGGAGTGCTTACGATGTTAGAATGGGACTGGAATCTTTTTTAGTACTTTCAGCTGAAATCGCTTGAAATTAGGAACAATTTAAAGAAATATATAATTTTTGTTAAATTACGTAATAAAAAACCATTCAATCTAAATTAATATTCGAAAAAGCTAATACGTATCATGCTCTTCACGAAAACACCAAAACATCATCGTAAAATGATGAGTTTTTAATCCTGAACGACCTACATACATATATACATATATCTTCCACGCATATAAAAAGGAGGAAGAAATATTCCTTTTTCTATGACGTTGGACTGTGGAAAATTCAAGTGTGTTATGCTAGAGAAACCAAGGCCGGACCAGTACACAGAATGTGGTTCGGCGTCGTATCAGCCTCAAAGAAGAGCGGACAAGTAACCGACTGAAATGCGAACCTTTGAAGGTTGTAAAAACGCGATATTGAAGTTAAAAACTATGGAGGCACCTCCGATAAGGACACAGACTAACTTTCTGACTAAACACGCCCTCATGTCCGGTCTAGCTTTACAAAGAGTCTCATATAGATGAAAGTTCCTTTTAATAATATTCATTGCAAGACAACGACTGGAGTATGTTGAGTCCCTCATTGGCGCATCAGCTTAACACGAAGCGGAGGGTCGTACTCGTAAAATCTCAGATGGTATTGAGGAAATTTCCTGTAAGAGGCCTCAGTAACTAAGAAATCGTCCAAGGATTGGTGGATCTATGATTCTCTAGGTGGCGTTTATAATGGTCCGCAGTAACAACCAAGCTATTCGAAAGGCCTGGAAAAACGCAGGCACTTCTTCAAGTACTTTTCTGAAATTTAAGTTAAGGAATAAGCATGATGTGATTAGGGTTCTGGGACACTGTGGTGTTCAGGGCAACGAACTGGCGGATGAATGACCCAATTGGACCAGAACCCATTTTTGAGTCAGTGACTTTCCGAAAAAGGGAAGTTTTCATGAATAGGGCTCATAAGAACAATCTTTCTTGAAAATGTCAGACAGGATGGTGGCAAAATTCCTTCTTAGCCATTGAGATGGTGTATTTTTGAGTGAGATGTATTGAGAATAAGCGAGTACAGCGCAATTCTGGCTAAGATAGTTGAAAGTGCTTTGTAAGGCAATTGAACAGGTTTTGTTTATTCTGGCATGGTCGAGGTCGAGCTGCGGAATTTCTTTTTTAATTTAACTTACGTTTTTCTAATTAATAGATTTTATTGTTATAACAAGAAAAATAAATATGCGTATAATTTCAACAGTTCAAATTTTTGGATTTCTGATTTTTTGAAGGTTGTTTTTTTTAATAATTTTATGTTTATTTTTTTATCTTAGATTTTATTTTTTAAAAAGAAAAACATATTTTTATTGTCATTGAAATATTAGCAACTTATTTTTTTTCTTTTTCTAATATAGTTTTTATTTTTTTTTAATTTTACTTTCATTGAATTTCTAGATTGCTTTATTTTTTTAAAAGAAATATATGTATGTACATGGTTTTTAATTTCATTTAATTTAAAAAATTTTTTTAATTCATTACTTTTTTTACTTTTTTTTTAAATTTATTCTTCTTTTAATAGTACGCAAAGTTTGCGGAGTTTTAATGATTCCTCACGCACACCTTTTTCCCCATACTTTCAATCGTTCCTCTGGGCTTTATGTACAACGGCCAACAATGCTTGAGTGCTTGGATTGTTGGTGGGTTCTTTGACCCTCCAAAATTCCAATACAAAGTATTTTCAAGTATAAAATAAACTAAACTCTAAAAGGAAATCTTTTTAGGTGAAAACTAACGTCGAAACAACAAATGAATTTCCTGTTTGATACTTTGCAACTATGTATGCATGAAATAACTTCAGAGATTGAGTTAATGTACGCCATTTTTATATTTACATATTTTTACCGGCAATTTTGCCATTTTAAAATTTTTTTAAATCTTAAATCTTTTTTATAAATGCTTATTGCGCGATAATCACAGTCATGTTGATTTTATGATAATTGAGTGGGCTGCAACTATGAAAACACCGTGGTTCATTATAAATACATATTCAGGTATATACATACAATATAGATAAAAATTAAATAAAATGAATAATGAAAATGAAAAAAAAAAAAATAAAAGTGCAAAAAAAGTGAATAAACGTGCGAAAAAATTCATAAACTTCAGAGCGATTAAAAAATTTAATGGTTGGCAATTATCAAAAAATATTCAAATATGCATTCTCGACAGGACAAGTGCATATGTTTGAATGCATGTACCCCTGCAAAAAATGGGACTAATCCGGGATGACTCCGGGAGCCATCGCAAAGGAGCATGCAACTAATACCACTTTTGATCTCTTTATATGGAATGAACTGATCACTTTTGTTCGAGCATGTCCTATGAAGAGACTAATTGTTCACCTTTATACCCGAATGGGTACAAAAAGCGACTAGTCACTTTTAAAAAATAAAAATAAAAATTTCCGCCAGCTGAGATTCGAACCGGGGTGCTCAGTTTTGTTAGGCGAATACTCTCTCTGCGTGCCAACGCCGCACATGAAATTTCATTGACTAAGTGCGTACATATCATTAATAGTACCCGTTAGAGATGAGTTGGGGACTAATTGAACTCCAATTATACCCATAAGGGATGAGTCGAGACTAATTGATCTCCATTAGTACCCGTATGAGACTAGTTGCGACTAATTAATGCCCAATTGTACCCGATTGAGAGTAATCTCGGAATACACTCTTTAGAGATTAGTCGCACAATTTTTTGCAGGGACTATACAAGTGTTAAGTTGTGTGGGTGCGCTATTATGGCTGTCAGTCAATGCCCAATCAATGGCACAATGATGCTGCTTGCTGCTGCTGGCTGGCCGCTGCAGCGTGGGCGGCATCACACAGCTGAGGAGGGGCCACTGTAGTATGTGCGCATCATTGTAGTTTAAATAATTTAATTATCTGACAGCTATTGTTATTGCTCAAGTGAATATGCATACGTACACACACACACACACTTATTTGTAAATTCATACCTCAGCTTGCGTTATAATCAAGTTTTTTTTTATTTTCAGGTAAAATTTTTTTTTTAATTAAATGCATTTTTATTTACCCTTGAAAGCAGATTTTTGTTTGTTTTTAATTTTCATGTACCTACTTATCTGGCAGTTATTGCTGTAAAGTATGCAATAATTTCCGTAAATCGATACTGTAATCATTGCAGACAGGTGTGTACATATATGAGTGTCGACAACTGTACAAACTCAACTTTCGGTATTAAAAGTCGTTAGTAATGGAGTTGTATAATAGGGTACCACAAAAACCGAAGAAATTAAAAACAAGTAATATTCAAGAACCTATGTGTCAAATATAATAAAACTGCGTTTTTAGTTTTTCTCTCGGGCAGTAGTATTTTTTTAAAGGACTTTTAAATTAATAATAAAAAGATGAATAAAAAAATTATTAAAAAAAAAATTCAGTGCAATGTAAAATAACTATATGGATACCAAGCGAAACAGAAAGTTCAGTAGGTTTTAAAAAAAGTAAAGTTTTTTGGTTCGCAAAGGCGAATTGGTATTGAAAATTCGCTCTAAACTAATTTAATTTTTTGAGCTTACAAAGTTATAAGAACGAAATTCGATGTGCTCGTGTGTATATTAGTCCTTAGCATTTCTATAAAATTTAGCAAAAATAAATATTAAAAATTTTCAAGAATAAAATATTTAAAGGACTTTTTCAATATCTATTCGACCTTATGCAACAAAATATTTTAGTATTTTTTTAGTTCTACAGAATTTTCTCTTGTATTTGATATTCATATTTTTACTCTATTTATATTGAACTGGATTTTTAAAGAATTTTTTTAGTTAATCATATTTTTAAAATTTCAAAATCCTTTTAAAAGCCCAGGATATGTAGCTTACCAGTCCAAATGTGCTTGTTACTGTTTAAGCCTTTAGAATAGAGAGGTACTGTTGAGCTATTTAAGAAAATGTTTACCTTTGTAATTTAGTTTCAATACCCTACAGTCCCTTTTAATCACAGGCATTTTCGCAAGAAGATACTGCAAATTTAGGTAATCGGAACGAGTGAGAGAGACTTCTAGTATTTCAGAGAATATCCCCGCATCCACATCGTAGTAATTCCTTTCGATTACGCTCCCTCTACTTCAGTTTTACCGTAGAAGGTATGTAGTCTGTTTTTTTTCTTGATTCTAAAAAGCTTGCCAAGACTGTGGGTAGTTGATGAAGAATTATATTAAACGCTTTCTGTTTAGGCCAACGGCCTAAGTTTGTCGCAGCATTTTCGACCCACCCTAATGCTTAACATAACTTCATTATTATGTCAACTGTCGAACTGTTTACCACTATGTTACTTATGCTAAAATGTCCCTTCGGTAAATATACAGTTCGACAGGCAACAGTAAGAAGAAATTTCAACCGGTCACTTATTTGTTTTCCGAGAGTGAAGTCAAGAGGACGTGTTCCAGCCACCGTGTTCCCGTATCAATAAAAGGTAACCTGTACAACCAACATATATGCATATATATTAATACCAATTTATCTATTTTTGAATAAACACCAATTTATATTAAATATTAATACAAACGTTTTGCTTTGTTTTTCATTCCAATAAATTAAATCGGCCACAACTTTGTCCAAGCGTTGTGCCGGTTTAACATACTGGTCCTTCAACGCCGTAACATTTTCCACTTGCCAGCGCCCAGCTTTTTGAGCCAATCCGAGGATCCGTACATTGCAGCAGCAGCTACAAAATTTTTGCACAAAGCAACCAAAGGAGCTTCCAGCATCAACAGCAAAAACACACACACGAACACCGACACCTGTTAAATAAATAAAGTCATCAATTTTTTAAATTAAAGGTACGTGGGTCTAATTTCACTGCACTTAGATTATCTTGTGTAGCATTTATTTAGTTAATAATCAAGAATTCGCGAGTGATTTTGTGAAAATTTAAAGTTTTAATTGCAACCGAAGTGCTAAGTGACACACACACACGCACATATATATGTACATACATTTGTGGGCGCTAAAGCCATTTAAATATTAAACAAGTGTGATCGGGCATAAAAAAAAGGCAGTGTTTTGTTTTGCTTTGGAATTATCGCGAAACAATTTGCAAGAAGTTTCTTTACGGTGATTAATTCAAATAGTTTAATTTTTGTTAATCATATTTTCCTTGGTGACTTGCATTTTAGTACCGAAATTTACCAACAACAACACTGCACTTGTATTCGGTTTACATAACCAAACTTTTCACTGCACCGAACTTTGGTACTTGCAATATTTCCTTTTCACAAAATCACTTTCGCGTTTGCATTTAATTTATTAAAAACCAATACAAATTTTGGCACTATTTCTAATTAGTCAAGTGGTGTGTTTTTCCATATTCATTATTTATTTGCACTTGGCGTATAACGCGCTTGTACATAAGAATATATACACATACATACATATACAGATCTCACTGGTTTGGTTGGCGAGCAATTTCTTGTGAACAAACAAACATACATACATACGTATACTTAAAACGCATTTATATTGCTAAATCGGTGTTAATAAACATAGAAAGTTCACAGATACAATTTAAAGGAAAAATAGAGAATTTTTATTACTTTGTGGTTGAATTGGTGGTATTTTGGTGGTGCATTCTGCTTATATACATTGGGTATATAGTTTTGGGTTACCTTGACATAGGATTTTCTTCGTGTGCTACCTTTACGGTTGGAAAATCGGCTTCTTTTGAGTCAGTCTCTCATAGTGATACTTCCAAAAATTTCTTGTGAAGTTGTTATTTCGCAAATAAGTGAAAAAATTAAATAAAATGGAAACATACACCCGGTTAGCAGATTCGGTCATTGAATTTGATACAGGATTTCTGAGCTCTCCCACAGGTGAGCACACCAAACATTCGCTGAAAATTCAGCAAAGCGAGCTTGGTGTACTGTGGGAGAAAGCCAAAGCACTCTTTGACGAAGTTCTGACTACCGAATCAACTAGTGCTAAAGATGTTAGCGCTATAAGAAAGAAAAATAAGATCTGCTATGCAGCTTTTGTCCGGTGTATGACAAAAATTGACGAATATTCCGAAAAGTTGGAAAAATCAGAAAAGGAAAGTGAAGAGATGTCACTCGCTTCGCATAGTTTGCATCTTCCACCTTGCGATATTGACGTTTTTAAAGGTGACTATCTGTCGTGGCCAACTTTTCGTGACATGTTCACCGCAATTTATATCTTGAACAAACGGCTTACACCCATACAGAAGCTTTATTATCTGAATCAAAAAAAGCAGGGTGAAGCCATAGAAATTGTCAAGAAATGCGACTTAACGAATGAAGGCTTTAACACAGCCTGGAAGAATCTTTGCGATAGATACGAAAATAAGAGGATCCTAGTTAACACTCAGTTGAAGATTCTCTTCAACTTGAATACAGTTGATAGCGAATGTGGAAGCTCAATAAAGAGATTACAAAGGGATATTAATAATTGTATATCATCCCTAGAGAGTCACCAGATTGACATTTCAAACTGGGACCCTATTATTACGTATCTGTGTTCTACTAAACTACCTGAGGAAACCCTTTCGCTGTGGGAACAATCGGTAGAAAATAAAACAGAAATATCCAAGTGGTCAGATATGGACCGATTCCTTTCAAGCAGGTTTCAAACGTTAGAATCGGTTTCAGGTTTAAGAGGAATCAAGACTTCGAAGTTTTCAAAAGTGCCAAGTCATAAGTATTCCTCTGAACCCTCTCACAAGAAACTTGGCGTTTTTCAAACTAGTGTCGCCAAATACATGTGCAAAATGTGCCAAAGCAACGAGCATAGAATTCATATGTGCCCAAAATTTCTGAAGATGTCTGTAGCTGATAGAATCTCCTTTGTAAAAACGAACAATAGCTGTTTTAACTGTCTGTCTTTCGGACATTCGGTGTCGAAATGCACGAGTTCTTACAACTGCGCCAATTGCCATTCTCGACACCATACGCTCCTACACAATCAGACAGCACCGCCTAAAACAGCTACCAGGGAAAATACTTCTAATCCTGCGGACAATTTACCATCGACTTCCAAACAGGCACAATTGAGGAATCAAGCTTCAAAGGGGAAAAGTAACCAAGTAAAAAAGGTGCAATCACATCACGCTAATACTAGCAAAGGTGTTTTACTCGGCACTGCTCGGGTTACTATTCATTACAATGGCACCAATTATGCTGCTAGAGCTCTAATTGATTCTGGCTCTGAGTGTTCCTTCATTACGGAGAGGCTCAGACGCAGAATCAACTTGCCCACAAAGAAAATGCATGCTCAACTTTCGGGCATCAATAATACGGTTTCTGCACTGGTAAAAGAAGCGTGTTCTATACAGTTGCGGTCACCGATTGACCCATTCATTTCAATTGATGCTATTGTGTTAGTGCTACCAACTCTTACCGGGAATTTGCCAACTTGCGACATTAGCGCACTAACACAACAAGCTTTTCCTGATCTCATCCTGGCAGATAAAAGGTTTTATGTAAATGAGCAAGTCGATCTTGTCTTGGGAGGGGACATACATCCCCATATAATTTTGAGTGGCATTAAGAAGAGTGTTCTTAGTACTCTTCTGGCACAAGAAACAGTGTTCGGTTGGATACTGACTGGTCGTGCTGATGCAGTCAACCCAACCAACAATAATAGAGTATCGTTCTTCAATGAAGTGACCCTAGACAAACAGTTAAGCTCTTTTTGGGAACTTGAGGATCTTCCACGAGATAAAACTGCAACAGCTGAGGAAGCAAAGTGCGAGGAGCTTTACAAGCGTATAACACAGCGGAATCCAGATGGGAGGTACATCGTGTCGCTTCCTTTCAAGGCGGAGTTCCCGGCTGATATAAACTTAGGGCCATCACTCAAAATCGCGTTTTCTCAATTTTACAAGAACGAAACTCGACTTAGAAAAAATCCAGACTTACAGAGGGAATATAAAAAAGTCATAATGGAATACGAGACAATGGGCCATATGTCTAAAGTTAATGCAATTCAGTCAGCAGATGCAGTCGACAGTTACTATTTACCACATCACGCTGTGGTAAAAGAAGAGAGTACTACGACAAAGGTTCGGGTGGTTTTCAATGCTTCGTCGTCTTCATCCAATGGTGTCAGCCTGAACGATATTCTTCTTCCAGGGCCAGTGCTTCAGTCTGATTTACCAGTGTTGATTCTCTGCTGGAGACTTTTTAGATACGTCTTCAATAGCGATATTGAGAAGATGTATAGGCAAATTCTTGTAGACGCCAACCAAACGAAGTACCAACGAATAATTTTCCGTACGTGTCCAAACGAACCAATTAGTATTTACGAACTAAAGACGGTTACTTTCGGTATAAATTGTGCTCCTTATCTCGCGATAAGGACATTGCTCCAGCTAGCTGATGACTCAGAAAGCCTCTATCCTATAGCCTCGAACATTTTACGAAAAAGTATGTATGTCGACGACGTTCTTGCCGGAGGACATACTATTGACTCCGCGATAAAAGCCAGGGATGAGATTTCCGCAGTTTTAAAATCAGCTGGTTTTCCACTTAGAAAATGGACGTCGAATTGCAATAAAATATTGCAAGGCATACCAAAAGCACATCTGCTGAGTGAAAATTTCTTAGAGTTTGAGGACACAAGCAGTGTAAAAGCCCTAGGTATAAGGTGGAACGCGCATTCCGACCAATTTTATTTTATAGCCAAGCCAATAGAAGATAACGTCAATCCAACGAAGAGAGCGATATTATCAGCCATCGCTAAACTCTTTGACCCGTTGGGTTGGCTAGCTCCAATGATAATTGTCGCGAAAATACTTATGCAGAGCATATGGTTAGAGGGTACAGACTGGGACGGGACGGTGTCCCCAACAACACTAGATAGATGGCAGAATTTCACGAGAAACTATCAGGAAATCAATAATATAAGGATACCACGTTGGGTATCTTTCTCACCAACGGAAAAGGTAGAGATTCACGGATTCTGCGACGCATCCGAAAAAGCGTACGCTGCCGCAGTCTACTTACGCGTGGAAAAAGAGGATAAAGTACTTGTAAATCTGCTATTAGCAAAAAACTAGAGTAGCGCCAGTCAAAACAATTTCTTTGCCTAGATTAGAACTTTGCGGGGCGGTATTACTGTCAGAAATAGTCGAATCAATCACCAAAAATCTTGAATTAGGCCACCTAAACATACATTTGTGGACTGATTCGACGATTGTTCTGGCGTGGATACGCAAGCCCCCATGTTCGTGGTCAACCTTCGTTGCCCACCGAATTACAAAAATCATAGACAAAGTAGGGAACTTGAACTGGCTTCACGTCGATTCAGCTACGAATCCCGCAGATATAGCAAGCAGAGGCATACTGGCGAACGAATTGGTCAAAAATTCTTTGTGGTGGCAGGGACCTTCTTGAGCTCTGTGAAGTTAGCCCCCCACTTTTACAAATAAATACTTTAACCAGTGCACTTTGTAGGACTTTGTTTGTAGTTGTTTGTAGTGGATTTAAATTTGTTTGTAGTTCAACAGACAACAAAATACGATAGGTTGAAAAAATCGCCTCCACCCCAATTTCACCTACAATCAATTTGACTAGTGTACCTTGTAGGAAATCGTTTGTAGTTGTTTGTAGTGGTTTTGATTTTTTCTGTAGCTTAACAGATAACGAAATACGATGGGTTGGAAATATCGCCCCCACCCCTCTTTCACCAACAATCAATTTGACAAGTGTACCTTGTAGGAAATCGTTTGTAGTTGTTTGTAGTGGTTTTGATTTTTTCTGTAGCTTAACAGATAACGAAATACGATTGGTTGAAAAAATCGCCCCCACCCCA